TACTGGAGTAATATTTTATTATACGGATCTGTACTTTTACTCAAGTACTTGATTTGTGTACTTCGTCCACCACTGCTGACGCACAACCCGATAAACGCTGGACCAGACCATAGACTGTATAAAAGCAGGGACCAGACTTTAAAAAAAAAAAAAAGCGCAGGACATATTTAAGACCGTAAATCAATATGGTGGCTAGTTATAATGTCCCTACGTTAGCTATGTTTTGTGAAAGACTAAGTGCCATTGTGCATAAAAATACCACAAAAAAGAAAGTTAGTCAATATCACACAAAATGTGCCAGATTTCACCTCTAAAATCAGCATGATTACAAATGTGATTTTATTCAACAGTTCAATAAACAAGAAGGTAATATTAAGAGACTTACGTTTTAGACACTATATTGCCTGTTTTTGCCAAAAAAAAAAGATCCAAAGCCACAGCACTGTTTTGCATCTCTGAGCAACATGACGGTGTTTCGTTCCTGAATGAATCCAGTGTGGGAGAGGAGTATCTGACTACTTTTACACTGCTGCCGCGGGTTATTATTCAAGTTAGCGGTTCTAAATACAAATAAATAAGCGCTAACAGCACATGACATCATGAAAATAGGGGGAAATATTAACAGTTGGCGAAACATCTGCAGAAAAAATATAACTGTTACCGGATTAACCTGCCTGCCTTCTCACTAGACCCTCTGCTTTGCAGCACAGTTAATGATATGCTAAGGATAGGATCCCTTGATGCCATTGGTTATTGAGTTTTGTGACGTAGCAAAACAAAGGCTGTTTCAAACCGCATTTCTGTGACTGCCTTTAGGAAACTACAGTTTTAAGGGGAAAATACTCCGCAATGGTGTTGATAAATGGATTGGCACATGGTTTGTCTAAAAGCATATTAAAAACAACACATAGACAAATAAACAACATAAAAAACTTGATTTTCACCACAGGGGGACTTTAAAATAACAAAATATTATTTATGCATTTGTAACTGCAGGTTAAATGCATTCATGTCCCTCTGTGTGGAAAATTCATCCCATGCAGCTTCTGTGTTTCCTCTGCATTGCAAAGATTAATTTTGATACTGATATCATTTGTTTGGTAACAGCCCAAATGTCTTTTATTCTAATTGACTGATTAAATGTAAGAATTTGACTCAAAAGATGATGCACACTTTTAGAAAAAAAGGCTTTATAAAGGTAAAAATGCCAATAAAATGTCAAAATCTATTTAAACTTATTGGAACAGATACATTTCTATCACTCTCACAAAAGCCACAAAGCCTTCCAAGGAGACAGTAAAGGCTTATGTCATGCTTGAACTTTAGTTAGGCTGAAACTTGACAGTTAATTTGCACGACATGAATGCAATGTGTAGGTATTATTATTATTTTTATTACTATTATTTTGATTTATGCCTTCGTTTTAGTTTGTACTGTTTACATTTTTTTAAGTAATGTGAAATTGATTATTGTATTTTTATTTATTGTATTTTTTTTATTGAGTAATGTGAAATTTATTTTTGTATTTTTATTTTAATTTTTTATTGATATATTTATTTGCATTTTGAATGCAATTTGGCAATTAAATACATTAAATGGGTTTAGTTTTCACGGTTATTAATGTATGCAATTTCAGCAATAAAATAAAAAGATTTTTCTAAAAAGAGAAAAAAATGTCTAAAAATAAAACAAATTAGTTGTTTATTTTAAGAGATCTATCTTATTATCTCTTGCATATTTAGTATTGCTCTTTAATAAAGAAAAATTACTTATCCGATTACTCGATTTATCAATGAAATAATCTGTAGAATACTCGATTACTAACATAATCGATAGCTACAGCCCTAATGTATAAACGTTTACACGCTTGGGAATTTTACAAAAATTTATACTTTTATTCAGCAATGATGCAATAAGTTGATCAAAAGTGATGTCACGTCAAGTCATGTATAATGCTACAAATTATTTATATTTCATGCTGTTTTTTAACTTTCTATTCATCAAAGTATACTCAAAAACGTACCAATTTCCTAAAAAAATATTAAGCATTGATGATAACAAGAAATGTGTCTTGAGCACTCTGATATGGATCAAGAGGGAGGAAGGAAGAAGACAGGGTCGGCGGACTGGGACGCGAGTTTTTATTCAAGTCTCTCAGTAAATACAACAGAACAAGGTTGGCCGTTAGCCCCGCCCCTCTCAGCGATCTCAGGACCGCCCACAAATGCTGCATATGCCGCTACCAGTCGTTGCTATAGATGATAATGTCATCCAAATAGGCATACGCAGCATGCGGCCGGAGGATCCGGTCCATGAGCCGCTGAAAGGTGGCCAGCGCCCCGAACAACCCGAAAGGAAGCGTTACGAATTGGTGTAATCCAAACGGCGTGGTGAAAGCCGTCTTTTCTTTGGATATTGGTGATAAGGGGATCTGCCAATATCCCTTCGTTAAATCCAGTGTCGAGTAAAATCGAGCAGCACCCAGCCGATCAAGCAATTCGTCAACCCGTGGCATTGGATACGCTTCGACACAGCATTCACCTTGCAGTAATCCACACAGAACCGGACCGAGCCGTCCGTTTTAGGCACTACAACTATCGGGCTCGCCCAATCACTGTTGGATTCCTCTATTACTCCCATATCTAGCATGGCCTCTAATTCAGTCTGAACTACTTTTTTTTGTGTTCAGGCAGCCGATACGGCTGGCTGCACACCACCACGCCCGGCTCCATCTCAGTGTGGTGCTGGATGAGGTCTGTGCAACCAGGCAGGGGCGAGAACACATCTGCAAATTCTGCTTGCACCTTGGCCACGTCAGTGAGTTGGGAGGGCGAGAGGTGATCTCCTCCTGGGGCCAGAGCAAGAGATTGGCTTTTGGTGTTCACTTCTGGCCCGAGATCTTCCTCTCCGCTCACCGCCATCGCCAACATCACTGACTCCGCCTCGCTCCATTTTTTAAGGAGATTGAGATGGTAAATCTGATGTGCTCCGCCCCTGTCTGAGCGCACTACCTCATAATTGAGATCCCCAACTCGCCGTGTGACCTCAAAGGGTCCTTGCCACTTGGCGAGTAATTTGGAACTAGAAGTTGAGAGTAATACGAGTACTTTCTCTCCCAGTGCAAATTCGCGTAATCTGGCTCCCCTGTTGTACAACCGGCTTTGTCTGCCCTGAGCCTGCAACAAATTCTCCATAGAGAGCCACCCCAAAGTGTGGAGTTTTGTTCTCAGGTCCAGTACATACTGAATTTCACTTTTACTGTCCGAAGGTCCGTCCTCCCAAGCTTCTTGTAGGACGTCCAACACCCCACGGGGCTGACGTCCATAGAGAAGCTCAAAGGGGGAAAACCCTGTGGAGGCTTGGGGGACCTCGCGCACGGCAAACAAGAGGGGTTCCAGCCATTTGTCCCAATTTTTGGCGTCTTCGTGAACGAACTTCCGAATCATGGTTTTTAATGTGCGATTAAATCGTTCGACCAGACCGTCTGTTTGTGGGTGATAAACGCTGGTGCGAATCGATTTAATGCCCAAGAGTTCGTAAAGTTCGCGGAGAGTCCGTGACATAAACGCC